GTGCTTTTGTGACTTAGGACCTACTCAGTACAGTTCTTGTTGCTTAGCAGTTCATCATAGCCAGAAAATCCCTGCACTACCTGAGCCTACTTGCAAGTGTCACCCCTCACATTACTAGCCCCCTCAAACAGCAATGTGTTGTTACAAACCTACCAGCATACTTCACCTGGCTCAGCTTATGTCCTCGATGCCAGCATCACCTGGTCTTTTCTCCTCGTCCCTTTGCTGAACATTTCTTATTCTTCCAGATAGTTTTCATCTGACCTTCTCCATTTTATTTTTCTTCTGTTCACTTTTTGTTGTACAGTGTCCCTTGATAACCACAGAGAATTTGTTCCAGGAATCTGCAGGTGCCAAAATCCATGGAAGCTCCCAATCTTTATATAAAATGGCACAGTATTTGAATACAATCTGTGCATATCCCACTGTCCACTTTAAGTCATCTCTAGGCACAATACCTACTACAGGACGGTATTACAGAGTAAATGTAATGCAAATATTTGTTAGACTGTATTGCTTAGGGAATAACAACAAGGAAGAAAGTCTGTTCACTTTAATACTGACAGTTATTTTTTCCCTGACACTTTCAACCCATGGTGGTTGAATCTGTGGATGTGGAATGCACGGATATGGAGGACTAACTCTATTTTATGAATTATTAGTTTGTAAGGAAAGAGAAAGAAGGCAGAACTCGTGCTTCCCCACAGCCAAAGCTGAAGTTTCAAACCCCTGACTCTGCTTGCTTGTCTCATCCTCCTCCTCATCTCCCCTTTGCACAGCATCTCCACTCCCAATTGGCTGGGCATAGGCAGCTTTTCCATCTTTTCTCCCATTTGGCTGTCGGGGCTTCCTAGCCTTCAAAGCAGCACAGATTGTGGCCCCCTCAGCTAGACCTTCCAAACTCACCTCATCTTACCTGGGGTACTCTGCAATGCCTTGTTATGTTTCTCTTTCTTCCTGACACTTGAGCCTGGTCTGAAGGTTTCCTGGGTGGTCCATTGTTGAATGTTACACTCTTATCATCCCACAAGTGTTAACATCCTGAAGGCAGGTTTCATCATGTTACCTACTTCATCACTATCTCCCTGATTTCCAGTAAATGGCCAGCATATAGAAGGTGCCCAATAAGCATATGGGAATCATTAAGTGACTGGGAATATAATAATAACTACAACTCAGAGATGATTAGCTATTGAATTATTATTGAATAGTTTCACTGCCCATATGTAGAGTTCTTCATTTCCTTAACTTTCTCTATGGCCTTAGTACACAAGTTTTAAATGACATCTCACCCAGTATATCCTGTCCTGTGCTACAAGGGAGAACTGAGTTTAAATCTCAGCCCTTCCACCAGTCAGATGTATGAACGTAGGCAAGTCATTTGAACTCTTTGAATTTTGGATTTTTAGTTTTTCACCTGCAAAATGAATATATAAATGTAGACTTTACCAGAGTATTGGAGGAAAAATCAAGCTAAAAACACTGGGCAGAGTATACAAACTAGATATTCAGCCAATGTAGGTGATTTTCTCTTCTTATTCCTCTTTCTTACTCTATTGTGACGTTATAAAGAGAAAAGCAGTGCCTTATCTAGCATTGTGCGTCTTATGTAGAGCCTGAACTACAATGGGCTCTCAGTACAAGTGAATTCAGTAATAATTATTTTAAAAATCACTATATCAATGATATTTGCAGCTGCTTCTTTATTTAGAGAAAAAAAGCAAAACATAAAAAAGGGTAGAAATAATACAGAATTTTTAAAAAACAGTAAGAAATCACTAGCTGATACATTACATATTGTTATCTTACAAGTAGTTGTTCAAGTCACAAAATCAAAGCATAAAAAGTGGGCATTCAAATAATGACCATACAAACCATTCTGTTTAGGGGCTGGGAATTTAGCTCAGCCGCATAAGCGCCTGCCTTGCAAGCACGTGATCCTAAGTTCGATCCCCAGTACTGATTAAAAAACAAACAAACAAAAAAAATACCAACCATTCTGTTTGATGAACTAACAAAAACTTAATAGTATGGTTATCTATCTTGCATGCTTAAACATACATACAGTTATATCCTTTAGAACACTTTCTTTCCTTTTCATTATTACAATATCTATTGTACATTTTGAATCTTATTACTCTTTCAGTTTTTATTATTATTTTTACACTGGAGAGACAATATGATATTTACAAATGTGAGTCTGATTTATTTCACTTATGAGAATAGTTTCAAGTTGCCTACATTTACCTAAAAAGCCTCAAGATCATCCTTTTTTATAGCTGGGTAATATTCCATTATATAAGAATGCACGTCTTTTTCATCTACTCTGTGAGTGATGGGCATTTGGGTTGTTTCCAAGATTTAGCTATTACAAATTGCGCTGCTTTATATCACTGAGACATGACTTTTTCAATTTTCCTGGGGAAATATCCAGGAGAGGAATAGCTAGATTGAATGGAACTTCCAACCCTAGTTCCTTGAGGGCTCTTTATACTGATTTCCACAGTGGCTGCACCAGTCTACACTCCCACCAACAGTGGAGAAATGTTCCTTTTCCCCCATAGCCTTGACGATATTTGTTATCAGTTAATTTCTCAATGGCAGCCATTCTTTCTGGAGTGAGATGAAATCTCAGTGCTGTTTTAATGTGCATTTCTTGAATGATGAATGGTGGTGAACATTTCTTCATATATTTATTTGCCATTTGTATATCTTCATCTGAAAAACGTGTGTTCATCTCAGATGCCCATTTTTAAAGAAGGTCTTTGAATTTGGTATTTGTAGCTTATTAATCCATAGAATGTTTGTAATAATTTTTATTGTTGAGAGATTTGAATAAAATAACGTATATAAGCATTGAGCAGAATATCTGGCTCATAAATGTTTGATAATTGGTAATTATTATTGTTGCTGATAAAATATAAAATAGTAGCTCCAAAACCTCAGCCTTAAGTTTGTTTGATATAAACCAAACAAACAAGTAAAGGCCACTGGCCTTCTCTCCAGCAGAACAGTGGGGAGTTTGGAGATAGCATCTTGGCTGTGCTAAGCAACTTTGGATACAACCAGAAGTGGCAGTAGGGGGTGCTGTTTCCTTAATAAAGATAGCTCAGCTCACAGCGGCTGTCTTAAGAAGCTGAGAGCTAAGTTCAGCTGGAAGTTTGGTAACAGGTTTCCTGGGCAAGAACTGCGCAGATAGTGAGTAGAAATCTGTTGACTCACGCGCCCAAATTTGGATCTCTGGATATCAGTGTTTTTCTGTCTTTGGCTGGCACTGGCACTCTAGGCTAGTCATTTACCCTGTCTTGTGTTTCCAACTTAAAAAGAGGCTCTGTTTATGGATAAAAGAAGAGAGAAGCAGAGAAAGAGGACCCTAATAACTCAAAGATCCTTGTCACTGTACTTGGGTTATGCTTCTCTCACAGACCATCCAGGAGGAGGGAGAAAGAGAAGGAATATCAGGATGCTTAAGAACTGCCATGCATTAATTCCTTGGCTTAAAGGTCTATTTTTATTTTCAATTTTGTTATGCACAAAAGGTCCCTGTAAGCTAGTAGCAGCCTTTTATGACATGTGCCATCATCATGAGAGTGAGTTTCTTTTTGTGCTGAGGATGTTTTCCTGGTTGCTATGAAGTTTAGCCTTGGTCCTGTCCCCTTAATTATTAACAACTTGGAGAGACACAAAAGGGCTCATTCACCAGATCCAAAGATCCACAATACCTTGTCATCCCTCTTGACCTCAATAACCATGTCACCTCCTCCTGAGGACTCCACTGGTACTGGTCTGGTTTTGGTGCCCCAGTGGCTGTCAGTGCTGCATTCTTCCTGTCATCACTCTTAGCCTGTTGCACTATGACCAGCTGTTTACTGGCCTGTCTCTTCCACTGCAAAACATCATAAATCCTCAGGACAGAACTCACTCATTTCTGTGCTCTCAGCAACGGCTTGGCTCAGAATGCATGTTCAAGGAATAACAGATGAATGAAAAAAAGAGGTGGAAAAAAGCTAACATGCTGAATAATAAATAGATACCAAAGAAAAGGTGATAGTTAATTTCAGTAGCTGTTGAAAGAAACAAGATAAATTTTTTGATTAAATATAAAATATTGCACTCAGTCTTTAGAAATCAAATGCACAAAGACAGTGTGGAGTGCCAGCTTTACATGCCAACCTAGAGCAGAGACTGGTATAGGATGGGGAGGGAGGTATCAGTAGACTAGAAATAGTCTGCAGCAGAACTAACACGGAGCAAGGATATGAGAGCACGTCTCCTCATCTGTTCTGGAGTCCAGAGAGGTGCTTTATTAAGTATAGACTAGGGCAAGGGAAGAGAGGTGCTCAGAATACAAAATATAAGGGGAACGTCACTCTTGGGATCATGCAAATGCACGGGTAGTAGAGAGCTAGCCTCTTCTTCAGGGCCACAACCTGGATGTTCCTTACCTACCTCTCATCCGGGCCTTTGTTGCCTTAGAGGTAGCTCTTAGAAGTAAGGATTAATGAAGATGTTAAGAAATGTTTACCTTGGTGAAGGGAAACCCTCCGGGGGATTTGGAACCAACACTTGATCAACTGATTGATTAAATAAGTATTTATTTAATACTTAGCATATATGAGGTGCTAGATGTTGAGGAAGAGTCTGCAGTACCAGAGAGACAGAGAGAGAGAGAGAGAGAGAGAGAGAGAGAGAGAGAGAGAGAGAGACTGTCTTCTGTCTTCAGTGAAGGCGAAGGAGGACAGGAGTGACTCCAGAGATGGGGCCTACGTACTGCGAAGATATTAGAGCAAGCTGTGCAGCAGCCGTGAAGAAGGTTTAGAGGGCTCCTGCACCCAGCTGGAGTCTGCACAGCACTCTCTCCGTGCTTCCAGGCATCTTCCTAGCCTCCCATTACTTCCCTCCTCTGCTCTCACTTACTCTGTGCTCAAAACCTTTTAAAACTACAAACTCTGACTCCAGGCTGATCCAATACAAATATACAAGGGAGGGGAAGGTCCTACCTTTTAACTCACATCCAGAAAGAAATCTTGCAGAGCTGTCAGCCGTTGCTCTCTGACCACTGCTTGGCTGCTGTTCTGTAGCAGGAGGCTCTGACTGCCTTGAGCTGGAACCTCCTGGTTGCAAACATAATAACAACATGACTTTGGACTAGTTTCCTCCCCTGTAAAATGAAGCGAGAGTGTCTTCACAAGAGCATTTTGAAATACCTCCATAGCAGTATAAAGAACATCTTACACAGGTGGGTGCCCAGGAAACACTGCTTAATTATAGTGTTTTTACTGTTGCTCTTCCTTCGGCATCCTCAGTGGCATTGGCTCTCCGCTGCTGTCTACACAGGAAACAGTTCAAAACAGAGTTGTCTTCACCACAGAGGACTGTGCTCGCTCAGTTACTTTATAGACACTTACACTTCTTTGTCTGCATTTCACTTTTGATAGAAACAAAGGAGTTGCAGTTAAACATGGTTCTATTATGAGAGACAAAACAAAACAACACTCCAGCTGGCAGAGGCTGGGTGATGCTGGAAAGCATGTTTGCCTGAGATGTATAGACACGCTTCTGCTCTGTGTCATTGTTGCATGAGGGAATGCAGGTCCTATATTTCTAGATCTTCTAGTTTTCCAAGAAATTCAGGAATTTGGATTTTTAATTGAAGTCCCCTGCATTCTCTTTATCTTAGTGTTGATTCAACTAAAATGAACATACCGCACATATAGGCCAGGGCCTTTATATCAGCATGGGCCACCAATTTTCAGCTCTGGATTACCTGAAAGTCCATGCTTGATTCAATATTTGAAGACCATCATCAGTTGTTCATCACCTGATTTCCTGGGCTTTCCTTGCATCCTACTGCTTTCAAGTATATATTCTCCTCCTCCACTAAATATACCAGTTTAGTGATTCCTCAAAAAGTTAAACATAAAATTACGTAGCAGCTCCATTCCTTGGCATGTATAGCAAACAATTCAAAACAGATGCTCCAACAATTTATATACACATAACGATTCTATTCACAATAGCCGAAAAGAAGGAACAGCTCAAATGTCCACCAGCAAATGAACAGACAGATTGTGTATCCATGAAATAAAATGTTATTCAGTGCAAAACAAAGTGCTGATAATACCACAGTATGGATAAATGACAAAAATATGCTAGATGAGCCAAAACCAGAGCAACAGTCGGTACAACAAAATGAAATATCCAGAATGAGTAATAGAGATAGAATGCAGGAGGGCACTTGTCAGGAGAAATGGGGATGGACTGCTTAATGATATGGAGCTCCATTTTGGGGTGATGAAAATATTTTAAAACTAGGTAGAAGAGGTGGTTCAATATTGTAAATGCACTAAATGCCACTGAGTTGCTTACTGTAACTTGCTTAATTTTATGTCAGATGAATTTCACCTCAATTAAAATAACCCCCACACCATTTTCACATCCAAAAGTTAACATCAATTTCTTCAATATCAAATATTCAATAAGTTTTCACATTTGCCTGTTTTCACACACACACACACACTGCTTCACTTGGAACACAAATAAGGTATATACTTTTTTGAATTTTTGATGTACTCTTTTGCCTCTAAACCTATAGATAATTCCTTCTTGTGTCTTTCTGTCTTATTTCCTGTTTATTTTTTTTTACTTGCACCATTTGTTTTGTAGATTTTTCATGTTGTTCACTGCATTTATGTGGTCGTATTTGACATTATTCCTTTTCCACTGCATTTTTTTGATAATTTGATAATTAGATCTAGAAGCTTGACCAAGACCTGTGCTTTGTTTTTCTAGAAGAGTGACTACCTCATAGTCACAGGATATCCAGCTGTCTTTCTTTTTCTGGTGACATGAGCAGACATAGGTGTCCATTCACTTGATCTATAAATTCATTACTGTTCCTTCTACATTTATGGGCTGAAATCATCCCATACAAAAATAAATGTTCCATTGAACTACTTGATTATGCAGAGGAGCTGTTATAGTGGAAGAGAGGGATAAATGTTTCATTCCTCCCCTTTATCAATTATTTTTGAAAACAATGAACTGACTCCCTAAAATGTTCCAGAAGTGATAAATGTTCAAATGTTATGCATCAACTCATGGTTGTGAACATAGTTAATATTTTTCAATCCTTTACATTATTATCTTTATTGATGTCCAAATTGTCCTACTTTTGATGTCCTACTTTGGACAACTTTTTTAAGTTGTCCAAGTTGTCACAACATTTGATGGCTTCCTGGTACAACTGATGGCTCCCTCAATGTCTGATATGGTGAGAGGGAACATTTCTTCCTAAAACTTTAATCAGCTATTTTTCTCCAGAAATCACTGGTTCCTTTTAATGGTTAGTGGCATGTAGAAGCTATTATTCAGAAGGGCCCCTTTAAAAAAGAGACTCTTACTTCCACAATAATATGTAAAAAAATTGTCATTTCTTCACGTACACATCCCATCTTAAATAATATCATATGATGTGAAATTTTTGAGGCACTTTTAACTACTTGGCTTTCATAGTCTATTATAATCTAATCTTGAAAATCAGTTATGCAATAATACCAAAAATATGTGCCAGTCACTATACAAAGAGATTTATAGACTTAGCTCACTCACTTAATACTTGCATTATGCCAGCAGGCAGGGAATAATATCCCTATTTCATTGACAAAGAAATTGAGGGCCCGGAGACATGAAATCAGTTGTGTATGAATAAAAGCTCATATAGAATGATGTAAGTCCTTTATTTCTAGATCATATGCTCTTTATTCTGCATTATGTGAAGATTGGGCATATATTGAAGGCAGTTAAGATATGAAAATATATTTAAGATCTTAAAATATGTGAACTTTTTAATGCTGTTTATTATTAGTAGAGTTACTTTGGCTCAAATGCAACTTTTTAAAAAGTATTCTTCTTGCTGAGAAATAATGAACTTTTCTAGAGAAAAGCCTGTATTTATTTTTGTCTTCCTTATGGAAGTCCTGAAAGTCAAGGATCTTAGTGGAATCAATTTTAGGGATTTGCCAGAGAGGGTAGTAAGCTGATTATATCGATTTCTTCCCTATAGGAATTTCCAGCTACACAGGCAGAACAAAAAGGATTTTTTTCCCTGCCTCCTACAGATTCCTTTGGAATAAAAATGCAGAAATAAATACATGCATTCATAGTCCCCAAAGCCCTGAGGTTACAATCTATAATTTTCTCTGTTGTTCAAATTGGCCTGAAAGTTTTTGTATTTACTTTATTTAACAAACGCTTAGTATGAGGCACCATTTTAAGAATTTCAAAAACATTAATTCATTTATTCCTCTTATGACGACACCCTGTGAGGTAGATATCATCTTTAGCCCCATTTCATAGATGAGGAAACTGAGACACAGAGCACTAAAGTAATTTTCCCACAGTGGTATAGGACTGCACCTGACCAGTATGCTTCACTGCCTCTCCACTCACTGGCCCCTATAATCACAGCATTTGTGCCTACAAGATTGAGTTTAACTGGGACCCTATATGCTAGTGGTAAACGTGCCTGAAAAGGGTACTTTCAAGACCCAAGAATTACTTTGCTTGGCTCAAGACTTCAGATCAGATTCAGCAAAACAAATCTTATTCTGAGTGCCAGAAGACCAGACATTTAAAGCTACATGGTTTAGTTTTCCCTAACTGAGTTGATTTTTGACAAAGGAAATGGAAATTTTCTTTATAGATGTAGATTCTGCTCTTGGACTCCAGATGCTTTGGTGTATCCAACATCTGGTTGAAGAGTTAAATCTGTTTTGGATATTTAGCCAGGTTTCCATGGCAGCAACCTGCTGAATATTTCTGCTTGATTCATTTACTTTTAAATACAGCTTGAACCATCATAATCATGATAATAACACCACAAATCTGAATCATAATGGGTAATGTTTATGCAGGGTCAGGGACAGTGTGGAGAGCTCCATGGATCCACTGCTGTTTGACCCTCCCAGTAAGTAGGTGAGGGTGACAATTCTTCATGGTGCAGATGAGGAAACTGAGGTGCAGAGAGGCTGCGGACATTTCTTAAAGTCACAGTAAGTCATAGCTGTGGGAAATAAAACTGGGTGTGTTTGGGATGTGAGTTACTTTTCTAACTGCCTCTCATATTACAGAATTAGTTTAACTCAAAAGCTCTCATCAATAGATATGGAAATTCAAGTTTATAATTAACTTTGGTGCTTCTTGCTTTATTCAGTCATGAACCAAGTGTTTCCTGAGTTGTGGTTCTGTACTAAACTATGAACCATGAGAGGGGAGTGGAGTGTAAGACAGAGGTCTTGTTCACAGTACTAAAGAGAATCTGTCCTGGGAAAAAGATGGGCCCTTGCAAGGAGATTATGAAGGATCCAAGGTCAAGACTTTGGTGCTGGTGAGCTCATAGAGAGAACATATTCTCTAGGTTAGGATTCTGGGACAGCTTCCTAGAGGAAGTGACATTTAGATTGGGACAAAAAACACAATGATTTTAACAGGAAACTTTGGCATTAGGACAGGGACATGTTGGGCTGTGGTGTGATGGTGGGATAGGCTGCTTGACCTTCAGAAAATCAGAATGCTTAATGATGTTGGTGACAGCACCTGGTACATGGCAAATGATGTCTAAATTTGCTGTGATTGTTCAGAAACCAGGTGATGTCCTAAGTTAGGGAACTATTAATGGCCACTTTCTAAAGATACTTCTCTAGAAAACAGCAATTACTATTCTATTCAGTGCCTGGGATGCTGGATAGAGATTAGGATACTGTATGTGTCTCTTGGGAAAAATACTAGCTTATATATCAAGGGGTACATAATTTATTCTTTTGCTGTGAAAACAAGTGACTTATTCATTTGAAATACTGCATGTTTGTAGAATTTAAGAGTTGGGGAGCTGGCCTCAGAAAAGTTCCGGTTCTAACTTGGACTTTGTCAACTATTTCCTGAAGGACTTGGAGCCAATTATGACCTTCTCTGTGCCCAGATTTCAGTATCTCTAAAATGTTGATACCTGTGGACCTATCTACCCATCAAGTATGCAAGACTATTAGGTTTGGCAGTGTTTATAAAGTGCTTTTCACCAAACCTAACACAAAGTATTCAATAAACCATAGTGAACAATTTAACTTCTATCACTATTGAGTTAATTAGTGTCCCTGACAAAAGTACTGTGGAAACAGCTCTGGATTGTGAATCAGGATTTTAAATTTCCATTTCCCACTATTGTTTAAGCATGGCACAAATAGAATTACTCTTAAGATATTTTTTCCCACTTAATGTCATGACATTTAAATGTCAGAGCATTGTTCTAAACATAAAATCATTAGTCTGCTTGGGGTGCCAAAAAAAAGTATGACAGATCGGGCGGTTTAAACAATAGACATGCATTTGGGAAGAACATGTACAACATGTTGGCCAGTCAGTTTCCGGTGAGGCCGGTAGACGGTATGCCATCTCATTGTGTCCTCACGTTACAGAGAGAGCAAGTGCCCAAGTCTCTTCTTAGAAGGGCGATAACCATTTCAGAGCTGGACTCTACCTTTATGACCATGTTTAACCTTAATTATTTCTTGACATCAAATAGAGTCCCATGGGGGTGGTTAAGGCTCGGATGTATAAATTTTGGACACGATTCAGCCCGTGGCAAGCATGTTCCTAATTGTTATTTTAATATTTCATCAACAATTTTTTTCATATTTTGAGGTTTTCTTAGTTTTGGATATCTTATCTTCTCGATTTTTGAAGACTAATGTAAATAATAGTAACAGACTGAAAACTTTCGTTTTTCAGTCTGCGAAACAGAGGCACTGGATTTATCTATATTTGAATCCTGGGACCAAAGCGAGATACTTTACCTCTCTGAATCTCAGTCTTCCCATTTGCTAATCAGGAACAGTAGTAAAATAAGGTGAGACTAGCAACAGGTGAGAATAGTAATAAAATATGTCAATACTTCAGAAAGATCACGCATAGCCCTAAGGATTCTAGCAATGTGCCTAGAACTAGTGTTTTTTTCTTATGGGTTAATTTAGCAAACTCTGGAGCACTTTCCTATCATGCTGAGGATTATGATCATCTTTATAATTCCTAACACATTCACGTTACCTCCTGAGAAACCTTTTGCTTATGTGCCGTAAATTCTGAAAGCTTTAATCTCAGCAATGCTATGGATTACCATGATATTTTATTTTGGTTAATTCATTTACACAAAACTATTATTCATTTTGTTTCACTTCTTTGATAATGAGTAAAAATGAAAGTTTTCAGTCTGTTTCTTTACATGAAAAAAATCCATATTAGATATCCTTATTTTTATTACTATAGAAATATATTATAACATTACTCCTCTGTTCTATTTCTATTTTTCTGTACCTGGCAAGGTTAACCTAAAAGACAAGTTCAGAGTGACTCTGGTTTAGTAATCATTAGAACAACATTTACTGTTCATGGTTTTGATTGTGTTTTTACTTTCTAAGGAAAACATGTGGATTCCTGCACATGGTGGGAATGTTTGAGCAGTCCTTTTGTGACTTGACAAGTGAAAGTTGTTTATAAAAGTGTGTTTTGTCTTTTCCTGTCTGCCTTTGCTTCACAGCTTTTCTTGACATCTCTCAGTGCTCGCTGTTTCTGTGCTTTGCTGTTTTCTCCCCTTGTAGCTTGCTCAAGGGTGCCTTGTATTTGACCCTGCTTCATAAGACAAGTGTCCTCTCCACGTTAGGAGGATTCACTCCGAGCCAGGACCTCAGACCGCATTTAACATTACTGAATGATGAATCACTATCAAGGGTACTATATGCATTTAAAACATATGAAGCTGAAGGGATGAATTAGAAATGACAGAATTTTAGAAGGAGGGAGAAATAATACCTCCCAAGAATGAGGACTCAGTAAATACCCATGAGCTTATTACATGACATCAGTTACAATGACTCCAATCCTCTATTTCTTCCTATCTTTAAGATACTTTTGGAAATAATTTAAAACATATAGAAAAATAAGTAGACCCATTATATTAGTCTACTGTTAACATTTTACCTCATTTTCTTGTTCTCTTTTTTGTGGAACTAGGTGTTGAAAGTGGAGCCTTCAAACTGATCTACATTTTAAAAGGCCTTGGCCTTTTGATTTTGAGACAAGGACAAAGTTGCACAGCTGGGACTTGAACTTGTGATCTTCCTGCCTCAGCCTCCCAAAGTGCTGGGATTACAAGTGTTATAGCTTGGGTCTGGATGTCCCCCCAAAGCCTCATATAGTCATGGGTGCAGTCTTCCAGAGTTTGTGAATGAATCATGGGTTCAATGCTGGGATTATGGGTATAAGTGCTATACTAAGTGGGTGTGGCCTACATACAATATAAGGAACAGAGTCTTCTTTCCATGTGCTCCTCCCTCTTTACTCTTGTTGCTTTCTCTGTCTTCCACTGCCATGAACTGTTGCCCTCTGCCATGTGCCACCCTGCCTTGGAACCAGCTGAGTATGGATTGAAACCTCCACAAACTGTGAGCTAAATAAACCTTTCCTTCCTTAACTTTGGGCATCAGATGTTTTGTCTCAGCAATGAGAGAAAAGTAACCAAGACAACAGGTGTGTACCATTACACCCAGCATGATCTTGTGCACACACATGTGCATACACACACACACACACACACACACACACACACAGTTTTTATGATCTATAAAAAGAAATTGCATCTGACATAGTCCTTCCTCCACTAAAACTTCACTGTAAATTTCCTAAGGATTAAGACACTTCTTTAACACAATCACAGTAAAGATACCTATGGCATAAATTCAAAATTGATATGACTATTTAATCTGCCCACGTTCTAATTTTACCTACAAGACACTGTTGATAGTATTCCCTCTTTGGTACAGTTTCGAGTTTAGAACCAGGCTTTGCCTATAGTGATCAGATCTTCTTAACCTCCTTTGATGTGGAGATCTCCACTTTTATTTCTCTTGACATTGGTTACTTCCTGAGAAAAGGAGGCACCAAATTTGTCTCCATTTTAATTCTGGCTTTACCAATGGGACCAAGGCAAGGTTATTTTACTTCTCTGAATTATCTGCTACGTAGAAATGGTAATAAAATAAGTTGAAAATAGCAAAAGATGAGAATAGTAATAAAATATGTTGATACTTCAGTAAAATCATGTACAACCAAAGGATTCTAACAAGGTGCCCAGAATTAGTAAGTCATCACCACATTTGATTAATGTAATTACTAATGAGTGCATGATTATTATGATGTAATTAGCTTTGCCTCTGTCACTTGTAATGTGACCTTGAGGAAGCTGATTTTCTTCTCAGAAAGACAGTGGCTTGAGTAGCAAGAGTGGGACTTTTAATTTCTTTGTCCTGGGATTGAAGAAAAGTACACTAGTAAACCAGTCAACTCAGTGCCTATGCCTGGACGTGTGCAGTCAGCTCTGGTTCCCTTTCCTCTTGCAAATGCTGACCGTCCTTTTAGCAATAAAGCTTCCATTCTCCTAGGAGTGCCCCTTACCTGCGGAGTTCCCAGGAGGAAAAGGCAGACTTTGTGGATACAGTGACAGAGCGCTTCTTACAGCATCTTTTACAGCAGGTGCAATCTTGCGAGTCATACTAAATAGCAAAGAGGATAGCTGTTTACAGCAGAAACTAGAAACCTCATCCTCCCTGTGGATTACGTGCCCCAGGTATATTTTGGAATAATCCTTTTTCTGTTGGTCAAACAAACTGACATTGTGGGTGTGGCAGATGTGGAGGTTTAGGGTGTTGAGTTGTTCTACTCCTGGAGTGATTCATTGCTGATAAAACTTAGATTCTAGGGATCCATGTGACCTTTGTATCATCGTGGAAGCTCTGATATGTGTGACTTCCCAGAACAGCTTTCTGTTGCCACCCTATTCCTAGAACATGTCCCCAGATCATCTCAGAGCAGGTCTCAGACAATGTCACCTCCTCTGGAAAGTCTTACTGAGCTCTGCATCTAACACTGATCATTCCCTCCTTTGTAATTTCTGTGTTTTTAGTTTTGTTTTTCTTCACATGATCTAGAAGCTAGCTGGCCTGGCTTATCAGTTTTATCAGTTCACCTGAGTCTTGTCTGTTTTCTCCACTCTCTACAAGCCACTGGTGTCAGGGGGCATTACCTGTGGTCCTTTCCACTAAATGCCCATCCTATGACACAATGATCATCATTTTTGTTTGTTACCAGTATTTGTTGCCTCTGTATGTGAATTCTTTCCTAGTCTACTTCCTCTGTGATGATGAGATCCTGTGAAGAAAGATGGATAAAGACCTTCATGTTTTGGGCCCTATGATGGCTTACAGGGCACTTTGGAATGCAAGATGGTCTTTGTGGTTACCGTGTTAGGATGAAGGTAACAAGATTATGGCATTTCATCCCAACAAGCAGGAAAACCAGCCTTCTCTCTGAGATGTAATTTCCTTTCTTCACTACAACCTGTTGTCATGACTCCTCCAGTCCCCTAGGGATGCAGTAACTCTGGGGATTGTTGAGACTTCCTTTCTGAGCCATCTCCAACATGGGGACATTCTGTGTCTAAAAGAACTGCAAAGAGAACAAAGGAATTTGTGGATGTGAAATAAGGTTATTGATTTGTTCACTCAAAGTCATGAAACTCACCCAACATGAAGGAAGGATATGGAATGTGGTGGTGTAGAAAGGACATCTCCATGATACCATTAGGCTCCCATTTTATACTACATAGCACCTGGAGCCAGGGATTGGAGTTCTAATCTCCAGAAAGCTACATGAGATCTGCATGACCTGGACAAATACTTTTCCTCTCTTGAGCATCAATTTCCTCATACTATTGCATAAAGTAGGAGAAACAGTACCTACCTTACCTGTGAGGACTGAGTGCTATGCCCAAGCAAAGCACCCAGGACACGTCTCACAAGTTGCTACTTCCAACATGATGGGGCTCAGAATGGAGGCTCTGGATCTAGTCAGACCTGAGTGTATATCTTGACTCTTTGTCTTACAGGCTGTTTGACTGTCAATAATGCACAGTACTTCTCTCAAGCCTCTGTTTTCTCATCTGTAAATTGATTGTAATAATACAGTCAGCCCTCCATATCTTTGAGTTCCATTATCTGAAGATTCAATCTGGCATGAGTCAAAAATACTTGAAAAACCTTTGCATCTGTACTGAACACATATATATGTTTTTCTTGTCAGATTCCTTAAAGAATACAATACAACAGCTATTTCTGGAACATAGACATTGTATTATGTATTTTCATCATCTGGAAATGATTTAATATATATGGAAGGATGCGTGTAGGTTAATGAAAATTATTATGCCACTTTACTTAAAGGATATGAGCATCTATGGATTTTGGCACCCACATGGTGTTCTGGAACAAATCCTCTCAAAATCTACATTTTTTTTATTGTCAGGTAATTATTGTTGTTTAAAGTCATATGCATTTAGTTTGTTTGCCTGTTTTTATTGAGACAGAGTTTCAATATGTAACCCAGGCTGGCCTCAAACTCACCACAATCCTCTTGCCTCAGTCTCCAGAATTCTGGGGTTATAGGCATGCAACCACACCTGGTTTAAGGTCTTATAAATTTAGATCCTTCCCACTCACACAGAAATAAAATTACTGCTCTGCCTTGGTGTAATATGACTCCCAAGTCCCTAAATAAAAGAACAGGTTTATCAGTTGACCAAAGCCACAGTAGTTGAGACCTCGCAGATTATCAGTATCCTGTGGGAGAAAAAAAAAATTGATGAATGACCTCTGACATTTAGGGAAAGGTACAGTGTTGTAGGGCTAGAGCCTAAGAAACAAGGGGAGTTTCCTCCATCCACTTTTGCTTGGCTACATTTTTCCAGCCTCTTGTTACCCATAGCAGCATGTCTCAGCATAAGCCATCCATGTACTCAACCTTTACCATATCTCCTCTGGAAGCCAAGCCAGCAACTATATAGGCACCTCATGGTGAGATGGGCTAATCCAGTACTGTGCACCTCAGAAGGCCTCTCCTGAAGAAATCTACGTTGTTTGGTTCATTTAGGACCAAGTTAGGTAGGTGACCTGTGGCTCAGAAAGCCAGGCTCGAAGTGCCCTTCTATTATTTGATTCCCTGGGTTTGTTTCCAAGAACACAGACACACAAGTGGCCACCGACAATGTGTTTTCCAACATCATATACCAGACATATTTTGCTCAGAAACATACCCTGTTAGTTGTTGAAACCTTTTTTGCGTTCCCTGAAACAAATGACACTATAGTGTTTTTTCTTTTGGGGGGCAGTAAATAAGTCTTTCATGTTGACAATGATAATATTATATTCTACAATCTATTTGCATTTCTCTTTCTGTGGATTTTATCGCTTGGTATAAATCCCAAGTATGCAGCACATTAAACTTCACATAGGGCTGGACAGCTTTGTGTACAACATGCTACCTGCATATATTGGTTTTTTCCCCTAGATATGAAGGTGTAATGCATAGAGAAGAAGAAATGTGTGTGTTCGCAGGCTTGGGCGCACGCACATGAAGCCAGGAGGGATTCCCTTTGGATCCACAGTCGAAATGGACTTACAAGAGAAACCTGGTTTGAACACATGCGTCTTCCTTTGTGCGACATATGGCCCATCCCTACCAGCCACGAGCGAGATCAACATCTGCTTCAGCTCCCACCAAAGCTGTTTCTTTGGCCTTTGTAAAGGGCAGAAAACTCGAATGAGGACACAAAATCATCTCAAAGACTCACAGAGGAGTTGAGTCACCCACCACTTCCTGTGAGTTGGTTGAAAAGTTTTCAGCACAGGAGAATCGTTTCCAACCTGCAAGTCAGGAGGAACTTCTGAGATACATCACCGTGCAAGTGTGAACCAAAATTCCTGTTAACCACTGATCATCCACTCAGCCCTTCTGTGTGCCACCCACTGTGCTAAGCACCATCTCACTTAACTCTCATGGCTATCCTTCAAGGTAGGTGCTACTGTTATCTCCATCTTACAGATGAGAAAACTGAGGCCTTAGGTTCCACAACTGATAACTTGTGGACCAATATCATTGTAGGAGAAAATATTCTAGGTTTGTGTTGAGAAGCCATTAGTGGTGGTCATGAAACCACTTGGACACCTTGCCTTGACCTAGCAGGAAAAAAATATAAAGAATGCTTTACTTAAAAGTATTTTTAAGAATGATTGTAATGGGATGATTATGTCTGTTACATTTTTTTGGCATAAATTTGTTTTTATGACATTTTCTATATCAATCGATTTGGACTTCTTCACTAATCCAGTGACATTTCCTAGGTGTATGAAGGAGAGTGTATCAAGTAGACACATCTGAAATCTTTGTCTCAGCTGAAGGGTTTGACAGTAACTTCTTCCCTAAATCCTAGAAAGAGTGGGAAGTCCCCACTTCAGCTGTCTGAGAGAAAGCCTTAGATGTGGTAGATTCTGTGCCACTTGGTTAGGCTAAGCAAATGGACCATCAGATACTCAATGTTTAATGGCAAAGTACTGTGGCTTGGATTGTTAAAACCATAAAATGGTTATTTACTGTGTCTCATTTATTCTTTTTGAGTCTAAGGAATAGTCATTAAGAGGCACAGGTAGAAGGTAATTATTGGCCTGGAACTTACTAGGTAGCTGAGGCTGGCTTCAAACTCAAGGGATTCCTCCTACTTCAGACTCCCAAGTGCTGAGATTACAGATGTGCATCACCATGCCCTGCTCAAATGCTTGTTTTTAAACTCAATTTTAAGTACGGCATGAGTGCACACAATTACCCCTTTCATTTTCGACTTAGTTGCGTCCTATTTTTCATTTTCTATTTCCTTCCAGAAAAGTCAGTGTAAAGGTCCAGTAAAGCTTGGCTTCTCAGTGCATGATGTTCTAAGGTGGGAATGTCAGTATGAAACTGATGAGTGTGGAAGTGACATTTAGGACATGGGCGGTCAGAACTGACCTCTACTGGTGAACACACTCCACCAGCCAACCTTACAGAACATATCGATTTCACCGTGTTTTCACTTGACACACCAGTGGAATGCCACACCTTGTCCATGGGCTGAGGGGGCACAGGGAGCTGGATTTCTGTCCAGAATTGTGTCATTGTACTGCGCCAGAGCAGTAGGAGTGGTCAAAGGTCAAACCTAGAAACATGAAACACTCTGGCTTAGCCCAGCTCTGCAAGGGTGAGACACATGAAAGTGAATGTTAGGTGGTATTCAGATGGGATCTTTAAACATCAGTGAATCTCACAGTGATTATCTTTCTAACTCTAATCTTTCTGAGCACTTTAAATACCAAGTCTGTTTTACGCTTTTGTATCTTAAACATTTTTATCATATCTGTTTCTGAAATAAAGACAGATTAGACTTTAATCTTGGACCTTTATAAAATAACAGTTTCTGATTTGGATGTAATGGCTTTCTTTTTAAATTTTTTTTTTACAATAACCCTGATTTATAGCAGTTTTAAGGCAGGATGAAAATTTCATTTGAAAACAAATCAGTTTAGTTTTGTTTTCCACCCCACTTGATGGTGTGCATGGATGTATATACAGCAAAAGTCAGTGTTACCGCATATAAATCACCAGAGTTTGAGAAACACCAGTTTAGGAGGACGTTAAAGAAAGCTGGCTTCTCCTATACCCCTGTGGATGACTGTCATTTATTGGAAGGCTGTGTTGTAACAGAGTGGGTGTAGGCATCAGTGTCAGAGCTGATTTTTAATCTTCTCCTGCCCTCCCTGGCTGTGTGCCTTAGCCTCCTTGAGTTCTGTTTGCTAATTTGTGAAGTGGGTCTTGTGAGCAGCCCGGAGCAGCAGAGGAGCTTCCTTCCATCCCTAAGATAGGATGTGGTTGATACTTCTGAGCTGCAGGTTCCCTACCTCCAGGCCAACTGACTTCTGTTTCTTTATTGCCAGGGCAATAGGTTTGCCTCTGAGAGGAGGAGAAGGTGGAATATCCTTTGCCCTGCAGCCTGCTAAAGAACCGTACTCTTGAGGCTTGAAAATCAAGTGAACCCATCTGGCTTAGACAGCTTAACAGCATGAAGATCAAAGTCACATGTGAGTTCTGTGCGTGGGTAGCTTTTCCTCATCTCAGGCTACAAATTTCTGGCAATCCGAGGCAGGCTCTGAATTAAGCTTAATTAAAATTCACTCTTAATTAGGGCCATTACTTAAAATCAACTCTTATGTAATAAAGCTGTGTAATCATAATTAAGCCCCAGGAATGGAATTAGGAAGCACAGAATGCAACAGCCAAACATGGAGATGCTGATGCTGATGGAGGCAGTGACAGTGACTTCTTAACTAAGGACCAGGGAGGATGCTGATGACCTCGTCCTGAAGGCCTCGAGCCTGTGCATCCGACCCTGGCAGAGTAAGAAGACCTGGCATTTGAGTTGAGGGTGGCAGAGGTTGTTGGGTTTAATTCCAGAGCTCTGGAATTAGAGGAGAAAGAGTAAAACAGAGGGTGCTCCTTCCCATAGCTATTGTTGGACTTAGATTTCCAGTTTCGTGTGCATTAGGACTTGAGGCTCACTGTCGGAAGTAGTAAGGGATATATAAGCATCTGCAACCAAATACCAGCTGCTTCCTCTTTGAGCCCTTAATTATTCAGGACTGCCTCATGATTCTTATACAGAATACAGTGCCAACTATGTGCCAAGCCCCGAATTAGGCTCTCATTGAGTTTTTACTCAAGCCCCACAGGTCAGAAATTATTACTCCCACTTTGAAGATAAAGAAATTGAGGCTCAGAGAAGCAGAGAGCATGATAGCTCCTCGGCCAAAGGAAAATAAAGCCTTTGATTCCAAACTCGGTTTTCATTCACCAGTCAGCACTGTACTCTGCCAGGTTCTATCCTGGCCAGGTGCTTCCCAGGTGGCTTCTACCCATAGCAGGTTCAACACAAAGTTCAGTCCTCTCTGCACCTAAATTTGAAACTAAATGTGCGTTTGTTGCCAAAAAGGTCCTGCAGTTTACATTCCCCAACCAGCCTCAGACCTATGCAGCGATTCCCCTCAGTGGGTTAACTCTGCTTGTATTCCCCTAGGGATGAGGAAGGACATCGCCACTTACTGAGGGGAGCTCTCACATTGGATGACAGGATGGAGATGGGAAGAAATTTGGCCTGAGCCTACTATTCACAAAGCCTTCCATCTCAGACTTCAAATATCAACTTTGGGTGATGCACACAGAGTCACTGTTTTTGGGTGGTTCATATTCAGGGTTAACTGGTAAATGCAAAGATTGCGGTCCTATTACAGTTTTTTTAAAAAAAATCTGTATTGGCATTTCCTCATTTGTCAATGTAGCAGGAACCTTAATTGGGACAGAAAGCCTACTCCATTTTCTTGGCCTAGGAAGCCTCGAGAATTGATGAAGACATTCTCTAATGTGGGCTAAGCTGTACATTTGGAGCATTTCCTCTCCTTGGGAAGGCCCTCAGAGGGATGGAGATCCTTGTCCTGCTAGTGTCCCTGTCCCACAGGAAGAGGTATGACTGGAGGAAGCATCTGCTTGGATGCGAAAGGTACCCAGTACTAACCTGGCAAGGCCCTGAGTCTTGCTGCTTTTGAGTGGAGGGTAAATTGTGGGGAGCAGGTGAACTTGTTGCCAGCAGGGGTTTTCCAGGATCCCAGAGACTCTGCTTTGCAAGTGAATGATGGCCACTTCCCAGGGTCCATCAACATTCTCCCACTTCTCAATTCCGGGGCACTGTCTGTGATATTTTACGGAAATACCCACCATAAGATTGCTCTGTGAAGTACTGTTTAGTTGCAAACTGCAGTGCCAGAGGGTGCCTGCAGAGTGAGCTAATGTCACACACTGGGGCTGAACCCCAAATGGTAACCAGTTGCTAACAGGGTGTTCACGGACACTGACTCCTGACCTGAGGAGGCCATGGTTCTCCCAGCGTGACTTCTTTGTCCTTCAATCCTGATAGCATTTGCCTTTATTTACACTAAATAGAGCCTGCTCCACTTGTGGGTTCCTGTGTTTTGGGCAAGCCCAGCTGGAGGTCCCCACAGCCAGTCCCTGCAAGGAGCGGCCATCCTGGTGATGATCATGTGCAGGGCTCTCCCTGACAGGGCAGTTCTTCCAACAGTTTAGCAAACACTCTGTGTCCCACAAAGCGCATGAGGTAATGTTTATGCAACATCAGTCTGTCCCTTTCTGCGGGCTGTGGGGACACTGGCATGACCCAGGAGTGCTCATGGTGGCTGGACTTGTCTCCCACCTTAAGTTTCCTGGTTTTTCTCTGCTTCTCTCAGCAGGCTGGGAAACAGACTCATGCTTTTTCTCAAAGAGACTAGCCTGGGAGTAGGGATTACAGTGCCACTGACCTTTCCATGGTATCCTGGTCTCCATTCTTCAAGGTACATTCATAGATAGAATGGACTTTGTTTTACATAGGAAGAAACAGTAAAGAGGGAACAGCACGCAGGGAACAGTGAGGCATCTTAACAAAATCTACAAAGTAGGTTGGTAACTGGGCTTGGAATTCAGGTCCTACCTCTAAAGTCATCCTTCAACTTTGATAACTATTTATTTAAACAGCCTTTGATAACTTTATTTAAAGATCTATGGTTTTATTTTTTATGGATGGAAGGAAGGATGGATAGATGGATAGATAAATAGCTATATGCACATATAATAGCTAGACAAGTGAACAGGTAGATGAATAGAGAGAGGACTGTGTAGGTAGGTGGATATACAGAAAGATAATTATATAATTCCATTAGAATACATAAGAAGCTGCTTTTGGAAAAGAAATAGAGAATATAATGTGCGTGTGCGTGTGTGTGTGTGTGTGAGAGAGAGAGAGAGATTGACAGATTGAGAATTTTTTTATCAATTGTTCTTTTTTGCTCCCTCTGAAAGTTGGGACTGTTGTTCATGTGCACAAAGTAGCTTTTAAATCTTTTCTGCTTCTTTGCTCTTCTTCCCAGTGTGTCTGTCCACAGGAGAGATCAGCTGTGGGAGAGTCAATAGGGGAGTCTACAGAGTCATTTCTTTGAAGAAATCAAATCCATTGGGTGCTCTCAGGTGTATGGATGGCGCAGCATGGAAGGTCAAAGAAACTCAAATTTTGGAGTCCTGAGTCCGTCTCCAGGGCTGCAACAGTGACCTTGACTCCTGATCCGATGACCAGAGGATCTTGGCAGTGGCAACAGTCAGAATATTTTTTCACATTTAGGAATGTGATAAATTGAAAACAAATTGCAGTCTCAACGGCTTGGAGCTGGTTAAGGGATTTTGAGCTCATGCAGCCAGTACAACAAATCAAAAATCTATCTTTTCTACACCCAACATTAGGGAGAAACAACTGAGCAGACCCCTTCTGCAGTTACAGTTCCTTAGTATGGAATATGTGGAATTCAAGTCAAAATATGCCAAAATGTTAGCAATTAACTGCTTATATATCACTACTATTAGTTTCCATTTTTCATATTTCCAGTGTACAAATTGATTTTTATTATAAAAATAAACTCATAAGGAATAGTCTCTTAGATCAAGAGCAAGAGCATAAATATGGGCATAGGGAGAATGGAAGAAAATAAAGCAAAATGATACTTTTGGTGATAGAATCAGAATTTTTTTGCCTCCCATCTTTATAGTTTACTTTTATAATGGGTATTTGCATTTCAGATAACTTTTTAAAAAATGGAGGAGGAGGGAAAGAGTGGTGAGTGTTGGTTCAGCCCAGAACTTTGGGCTCCCTGGACTGTCTTTCAGGTGAACTGTGTGATGTTTCCTGAGCCTGTGAACTGGGCTCATTATTTGGCCCTGGGAAGGAGGAGTGAGAAATATGAAGATGAAGGAAATGCAAGCACTTCAGTCAAATAAATCATAACCCAGCTGGGGAGATAAGAGCCTGCATTATGCCGTTGGCATCGCAAGATCTTAATCCTAGAAGTTTATCTGTTAAGAGTGATAGCAATGCAAGTGACAGTATACCGAGCTTTAAAACTACCTCAGTTGGGAAGAAACTTACTTTTTTTTTGTACCAGGGATTGAACTCACAACCTTGTGCTAGCCAGGCAGGTACTTGTGCTGCTGAGCTAAATCCCCGTTCCCAGAAACTCACTTCTATTCCTAACTATGCCAGACCTGATCTTCAGTATGCTTTTCTGTAAATGTACACTACCTCATAATGTCATTGTGAGTGTTAAACAAAGCCTGTGCATAAAAGGCCATATAAGCCTGTGCATATAAGGCTACCTTCATCATGAGTCACGTTGCCATTACTTTGGATCAGGTATTTGGGGCCAGCCATCCATAAGCCATGCTTTCCCAGTTATGATTGGGATTTGGACTCACATTTATCTAATTTCAAATCCATTTATTCTACTGATGCCGCACTTACCCCTCCACACCAAACTGAAATTTGTTCTGAACCTCACCTTTGTCTTCTTTATGATTTTGGCAGAAAAAAAGCCAAATGCCTATTCAAAGATCAGAGGAGAAATGAGTTTGCTTCAGAGAACATGAGAGAAAGATGCTTCCCTTCGTGCAGGACACCGCAGTGTTGCCTAGAGTTTTGCAGTGCCTTTTGCTGTAGAAGATTCACTCTGAAGCCTGTGCTGGTGACACAGCACTACTTGGCTTGGCCTTAACTGCAAGACTGACAGGTTTTGCCTCCTAATCACGTGTGTTAGTTTACTCTGGCTAAAGGGCAGAACATGAATGGAGAGTAAAAGAAAGTATAAAGGAGGAGCATCATGTTCAAAATGGACAACAAATGCCGAGAAGTGTGAGCCATGGTAGACGGCAGAGTTTGGGTCACAGGCGCTTATAGAGAAGACCTGATCCTAAGGTTACTGTGCAGGTAGGACAGCCTCCAGAAGCTGACCGACAAGCTGAAGGACCTATTTTAAAGTAGTGACAAAGGTTGGAGGTGGCACTGATTTTTTCCCTTGACAGTGAGTTTCTTGTGTACTCAGGTTGGAAATCTTCCCTAATTGAATCATGAGTTAAAAGCAACGACAGTTCAGTAAAAAGGACAAGGAAAACCAAATGCACAGGGGACATTCTCTTTAGGAACATCCATGTCACTCAGAAAAGTTACCTCCTTGAAACGAATGTTGATATCAATGGTCTCCCCAGTCATCTGTTTTTTTCAGCGCTCAATCTAACCTCCCCTGGAACCCATGTTGCCCCAACTCATCTTCATGGCAGGCACCGAAGGAGGACTGTAAATACTGCAGGAAGAGCAATAACTCAGGCACTCAAGCTTACATAATGGATTGTTTCTCTTATGTGAGAAACCCAAAATATAAATAAAGAACAAAGTAAAAAACAGATAATAGGAAATAGGGAGATAGAGCTTTTGCAAAGGGAAGAGAACCAAGAGATGGGGGCGGGGAAAAGAGAAGGACAAAGAATTACATGTCTCGCATATGTACCAATGCCACAGGATGAATGTAATTATTATGTACCACAAGCATCTAATAAAAAATTTAAAAACTGAAGCCAGTGCAGATAAGAGCACAGGAGAGCTATGTGTTTGAATAAGGGAGAAGAATATGACAGCAGATCAGGTATGAAGTAAAGTAAAGGCAGAGATGGGTAGAAAAGGTTTCCCAGACAAGCCAGGACTTGAGTTGCATCTTCAAGAGCAGTGCATGCATTCTCTCTGGTCCTAAGACAGGAAGTGATTTCAGGCAGAGGCTTCAGGGAGCCTGAGAATGTGTCATGCACCCGTGGTGTGCTCGGTCCATGGCAGAGGCTGGCTGAGAGGTGCTTATAGAGAAGACTTGAGACAATAAGGCTACTATGTAGGTAGGACAATCCCTAGAAGCTGACCAACAGGCTGAAGGACCTATTATAACAGTAGTGACAAGGGGAAGAGGTGGCATTGGTTTGCTCCCTGGCAGTGAATTTCTTGTACATGCAGGAGTTGATGCCATGTTGAGCAATATGGAGGTCAAGCCTCCTGTGCTTTTTGTTAGGGCTTCAGTTTGAGGAGATGAATTAAATAGCCCAGATTTATCAACTATTAGATGATGAGAACAGCATATAATTGAATCATAGGAAAATCTATTCATTCATACATTCGTTTCTTCCTGTAGTCATTTAGAATGGTTCTTATGCATCGAATACTTTATATTAAGTACTGCTGAAATCCTGGTGGGAATGCTACACAATTTAGGACTTGGCTCCAATCTCAAGAACCTTCAAGTCAGAATAAAGGAGAGATGATTACTAACTCCACTGTGTTAACCCATCAACTAAGTTCTTACTTACCTCCTACAACTCCTTAAACCATTTCAATATACTTCCTATTTCTTACCAGAAAAATATGAACTCTTATCTAAGACTAATTTTCTCTATATGGGAAGCCTTTGCTCACCTCCTAAAACTCATCTCGTACCCATCCCTTCCTTCTTCTGCTCCAATTCCATTGCTGTTTCAACAGGGCTCACCAGACTCTCTTCAACCACAGGGCTGTGGCACATGCTGTTCCTTCAGCCCAAGTCATCTTCTCTGGCTCATGCCTACTTATGGCCATAAGCTCAGATTACTACTAGTTCCTTGGGAAGGGTTTCTCAGTCCATCTACTTGATCATGTCTTTATTATACACTCTCCTACTCCATATGATATCACTTATAGCCCTTGTCCTAGTTATTATTTTTCATTTATTTACACAAGGACTACATTAATACCAGACCAAAAATTCCCCTAATGCAAGCACTGGTTTTATAATAATTTCTATAGCATAATTTATTTCTAATAATCACATACCTTTCGATGAATATTGACAAATTTATGCAAACCATATACACATGTTTATTACCACAGTCTTGTGTGGAACATTTATATCTCCCCCAAAAATCATGCTGTGCTTCAGGCCGCTGCTGATCTTCTTTTTGTCCTTGCAGCCTGGATGTCTCTTGTATAGTCTGATACATGTAGGACCATATGGTCAGTATCCTTTATGTCTGGCTTCTCCCACACAACATAATGTTTTTTAGTCATCCGTGTGGTCATCCGTGTTGTCATCATAGTCTGTTCCTTTTAATTTTCAAATGTTGGGGTCGGTGCCTAGACCCCTAATCCCCTGAAAGTGTACACAGCAAAGGCCCAAAGGAATGAAACAAGCAGCTTGATCTTTAGGAGGAGTGAAATCCTCAGCAGAGCTCATAACTGGGCTGGCCAACCAATTGATGCTAGACAGCCCATATTTAATCAGAACAAGCAAGGAGTTGAGTGGACAATGGAGGAAACCTGAACAGGATCTTGGGAGGGGTTCAAGGAGCTCTCAGAGCAACAGAAGATGCTAATTAAGGAAAACTATGTAGAAAGTGTCCAGGTAGCCTCAGCTGTGACCTACCTTGCCACCTGAGGTGTCTCCTCATCCTCAGTTCAATCATGCCCAGGCCAGGCCACAGCCCTGCATGTGTTCAACACTCTCCAACAGCTGAATAATGCCATTTGCATTGTTTCATTGGAGTTACCACTATTCTTTTAGGCATCCTTCAACTTCCTGAGGCTGGTGCCACATTTTCTGACATTTCCAGGACTTACATAGGTCTGGGTAAATAGGTGGCCTTTGGAAGGGACATAGCCCAATTCACTGATCCAGGCCATGTGAGCGATCACTTTGCTAGCACTCAGCAGTCATCCTCACATACACAGACTTCCTTTGCATACTTCACTAGTTAAACTTCTCAGTCCAGGTTCCTAAGAATACTTGCCTTTCCTCAGAACCACTCTGATGCTTCCCAGAGCCACAGGGAACAGTCTTGGGTCAGCCTTCGCAATAAGGCAGTATGGGCGATGGTGATAGGCAAATCCCTCTAACATTTTTGAACCTGGACTTCCTTATCTGTTGAAGGGAGATGTTGATATCTGCCTCAAGGGTCATAAAGTGAACTCAGATATATGAAAGTGCTGTGTGAAGTAGAAAATACAATATTGTAGAGTAAAAATAACCTCCTAAGTTACCTGAGACATATAGACCTTCACTGTCTTTTCCATCAGATGAGGCTGAACTAGTGTTCACCAAACTGCCTTTCATCTTGAGTCCTCTTATAGTCTAGGGTTCTGGAACACTAAAAACAGAGCCTGTCTGTCTTTCCAGCATAGGAAAAATTGTGGTGCTTTTAAAGAGAACAATCAGTTTCTCCGAAAATTCTCTTTCTGAGTAAAGAAAGTCAGCTTCGGTTTCCAGAACGAGCCAATATTTTTGCATCAATAGGTTTAACTCTGTAGTTATTTCTAAGAACAGTAGGGCAAACAATAGAGCTCCTGATTTCCAGAGTGCTAACTGGGGCTATGAAGCATGTCCTTTGCTGGGAACTGATCTTTGGTCTGGATAAATGTGTCCAACTTGTTAAACCAGTAATTTAGTTAAATCCACCTCTACATGAACCCTGTCATTCAGACAACAGAGAATTTTTGAGTGCTACATTGTGTTAAGTGCTTTATCTATATTGTCACCCTCAACAGCTCTATACTGTAGTGAGGTGGAAATTGAGCTCATAACTGTTCCTCAGACAAAGGATTACTATTGAGAGCATATAAGGAAAAAGAAATCAGTCCTTCTAGATTTAAAGATCCAGTCCATAAATGGGCATCTGAGATGAATACACACTTCTCATGTGAAGAAATACAAACATGAAATAAATATATGAGAACATGTTCAGCATCACTGGTCATTCAAAAGATGCAAATTAAAACTACACTGAGATCCCATCTTACTCCAGTAAAATGGCTATTATCAAGTAATCAAGCAATAACAAATGCTGGTGGGGCTTTGGGGAGAAAGAACCCTTCTCCTCTGTTGGTGGGGGTGTAGACTGGTGCAACCACTGTGAAAATCAGTGTGGAGATTCTTCAAAAAGCTAGAATTGGAGGTTCCATTTGACCCAGCTATTTCCCTTCTGAATATTTTCCCAGAAGAATTTAAAACATCATATCATAGTGATATATGTGCACTCATGTTTATAGCAATACAATTTGTAGTAGCTAGATCTTGGAAACAACCTAAATGCTCATCGACTGATGAATGGATAAAAAAGATGTAATATTTTTATACAGTGGAATATTACTCAGACACAAAGATGGCTAAACTTGAGACCTTTATAGGTAAATGGATGCAACTTGAGGCCATACTCATAAGTGAAATAAATCAGACATGCATGTGTAAACATCAAATTGCCTCACCAGGTGAGAAGCTGAAAGAAACAATATATGCATATCTATATCTATATCTATATCTATATCTATATCTATCTATCTATATATAAGATAGTTAAGATAGTTATATTTTCTCTGAGTTCATTGAAGAGGAAGGTTTGTGCTAGAATTATTTGGACTATTAAATGCAGAAATCTTGTATTCTGATAACCAACTTGAACATGATGTGCATATATATATGTGTCTTGAAATTGTGATTCTTCTCTTTAAAATAAAATAGATTTGAAAAGAAAAACAATGGGCTCATTCCATGTGGCTTGACTCATGTCTCCATTGGTAATGACCAAGTTTGGGCTGAAATCATTGGTCCTTGTCACTGTGACATGCCCTGAATTAGCCCCAACTGATACAAAGATAATTAGGTACACTCAGATTCCATGTGGCTGGAAAAATAGCTCCATCCAAAACTGTTAAAGTTCGAGGAACTCACCATCAAATTCAACTTCTTGACTTTAGTGATGAGCAGATGGAGGTCCTCAGATCTTCTCATCTGCCCATGAGACAGTGGCAGTCCCAGAAGCTTGAACTGTTATCCAGACCTTCAATCCCCAGGTTAGGGATTTTTATAGTACAACAGCATGTACCAGAAACAAGGAAGTGGAGAATTAAGAACAAGGCTATTTCCAAATCACCTGTCCCATGTGTCTGAGGTTTAGAGTACAGAAGAATACTAGGAACAGTCAGAATACTAGGAGACATTTTGAAACCACCACTTTAAGTTATCATGATGCCACATTCTTTTCCTATTACCTCCTGCACAAACAAGGACAGATTTCAATAGGATAATTTTGTGAGATTCTCTTTCCTAGTAAAGGCTCTATTAAGAACCCAGGGAACCTTCACACAAAAAGACCCAACTTCTAATTCCTGTGTTGGAATTTTCTTTCTTTGGTTATTAGAGCAACCAAGGATTGTGCTTCCTGTTCTACCACCAGTTTCCCTTGCATTTTAAAGTTAGCTGATTAGCTCTGCAGTTACCTTTTTACTAATCACATAGGTTTCATCCCTACCAAACAGACCTGTATAAACAACTTCACTCCTACTTCAGTGATTAACTCAGAGCAGACATTTCCCAGTGTCGAGAAGTCAGTCAGTGCTTAATAACTGAGCTTCCATCCTTTCTGCTGGCTCAGGGATGCTCCATAAACCTGAAAGAGTCTGTTTCTGCGTCACCAACATGTGTGCCAGTCTGAGGCGGGCATGTAGCTCTAGGCAACTTTCGCATCAGGATCCAGGACCAGAGTGTTCCACTGTGTGTCACTATCCCGTGCCTCACAAGCTGAGTGGAATATGCTCCCTCTGTGCAAAGACTTGGGTTTCTTCTCTACCAGGACCACAGAAAGCTGACAGGCAAGTCACGTGGAGACAATAGAAAATCAAGAAACAATGAAGGAGAAGCTTGGAGAGAGACGGGGAGAGAATGAGGAGGTTATGATAGAGACTAAATTGAACTTACAGTAAGTAGGAATTGGTAGTAAATGAAGGACGAGGGTCTATTGTCACATATGCCTGGGTGGTAACCTGGTTCTGCTTTTCAAAGTTGACTCTGGGCAAATCACCACCTCTCGATGAGCCTTAGTTTTCTCTTCTGTAAAGTGAAATAGTAGTAGTTCCTCTTTCACAAGTTTGTCTTCAGAGAAGATGCAATGAGCTGATATGTGTAAAACACAGTGCCTTACTCATAATAAGCTCTCAACACTTAGAATAGCTGTGATTATTTCCTTCTGTTGGTCATGTAACTCTAGTTCCCTCAAAGCCTGGGCATGGTTGGTATCATCACAAATACCATCTACAGACAGAGAAGTTAAGAGAGAGTGACTGATTCACTCCAGTGGGTAGATCTTTTCCTTTGTATTCTGTTGCCATCCAGGTGGGTTTCAGCTGGGCTCTGGGAGCCGGTCCCTGGTTTCATTTTCCCCAGGTTCCTCAGAGCACTAAGTTCAGCAGCAGAAGTTTCAATAAATGCCCTCTAGAGGGCAGCACGAGCCTGGGAAACTCCCAGTTGTCTCTGGCAACTGGGCTGAGTTGACCTCCAGAGGCAACATAAGGGGCTCCTGCTGGGCCCACATTGCAGTTGTGACCTGCGCTGGGGCTTCAATCATGAAGGGACCAGAGGGGGACTGAATGAGGTTGGGGGGGGGGCGCTTTCCTGCAACCTCCTTTTCCCACAGTTCCATTCTGCTTAGTAAATAGGAGCTGGTCTGGTCTGAACCCTATGGAATATTAATGGCCTATTTTTAGCCCTCCACAGAATGGAGGAGGCAGGGCAGCCTGGGCAGTAGACAGCAGGGGTGATATGGTGGGTCAGAACTTGCAAAGTGAGCATGTCCTGAGTCAACAAAGACAACTTAGAACCCAGTGTGTTTCTTAGGGTTGCAAAGGACCCCTTCTCTCTGTTAATTTTTGTGTGGTTCTGGGATCACTGAGAGCCAGATTCCTGGGCCCTTTGTAGGTCGCTGAGTCAGACCAGCAGAGGTCATTTTGACCAGTAATGGTCCAGAGGATTTCTGTGCAAGCTTACATGTTGCAGCTTCTGTTCTAGTGACAGACACACCGGATAAAAGGTGCCACAAGGGAAGAATGTGGTCATGTATTGATCACTCCTTGCTGAGCCCTGAGCTGAATGCTCCACAAATGCTGCAGTGTGTCTGTTTGTCCTTTGCATTATTCCCTCGCCTGTTCTTTAGGACAGAGCACTGGACTGAGACTCCAGAGGTGAAGAGACCTGCTGAAGGGTGCACTGCAGTCAGCAGCGAGACAGGCTCGGAGCGCAGGGTTCTCTGATTCTAACACTTGACAGCTTTCATTCTCCATGTAATCAGGTCTGGGTCTGAGAAGGCAGCGGGGCTGATACTCAGCACGTGGCCAAAGAAAGGAGCAGAAAATCCCTTGCCCTGAAGAGTGGCACCTCCTTATACACCTTCCTTTGAGGCCTGGGGTGTATCAAACACGAAAACACTTAAGTCTTTTTTTTTTTTTTTTTTTTTTTTTTAATATCTGCAATAAGCCATCGATTCTCTCCTTCACCCTGGCTGCTGCAAAATGGCTCAGACACCTTGGTCAGACCAAAGGCCCATGGGTCTCCAGCCATGACCCTCTGGGTGGGAAAGGAGCTTGAAGACTGACAAACAGGGCCTCTGAGCTCACTGGAAATATCCCTTCAGAATCCCTCAGACAGCTGGATGCCAGGCTTTTAGTTTTTCTTCCTCTTGCCCTTGGATTCTTTAACCTTACTCTCATGGGAAGTGGATCTCTGGCTTCTGTCTGGACTGGCCATTTGCGAGGACTCTGACATCTCATGGCAGATAGGGGGTCTGTGAAGCCAATGGGAAGTACAGAGGTCAGTTGTTCATCAGCACATCTGTCAAGTGCAACCTTGCTTTCAGAAATGGATCACTGCGGGATGATCACTGATCCTGCTATCTCTATTCTCATAGTCAAACAGGACTCAAATATTCCGTTTGAATAACACCTATGCTGATCTTGAGAATGTTTGCCTCTGGCTCCAATAATTAATTCTCTCTCTCTCTCTCTCTCTCTCTCTCTCTCTCTCTCTCTCTTTCTCTTTGCCTCTCTCTCTCTCTTTCTCTCTCTCTCTCTCTCTCTCTCTCTCTCTCTCTCTCTCTCTCTCATATTTGTGCATCATCTCTTAGTGTCTTCCTATTTGTTCCACCTCTAATCTGTTTGACTCAGTTTATTCACTATACAGATTAAGTATTTGAAGAGCTATAGACAAAAAATTTCTTCGCACACCCAATGGCCAAGAACTTGTCAAAGAATTCTCCTCACTCCCTTAGTTTAGCCAGTCTATCCTGGTGGGGCCTGCAGGTCATCTGCGAAGTACTGGCTTCTTCCCAGCCTGTTGGCAACAAGAAAAGAAAGAAATCAGAGTTCCAGATGGGTAAATATCTTCTTTATTTTGGTTATAGGTGGCATTTATCCAGAATGTTGGTAGATTGCAAAAAAGAAGAGGAGGAGGAGGAGGAGGAGGAGGAGGAAGAGGAAGAGGAGGAGGAAGAGGAGGAGGAAGAGGAGGAGGAAGAGGAGGAGGAGGAGGTAAGGTAACTAAAAGTCCTTAGGGGTCTAAGCAGAGATGGCCCCTGAGACTGTCCAACTGCCCTGACAGTAGATGCCTCTCAGTTTTGGAAACTTTCTGGTCTCCCCACACCACACATCTGTGTATGGCTCAGTCCACAGCAGCAAATCTGACGTGGTGATGGTTCTGGCTTTTGTGTTCTACAGAATCCCCCTGTTTTAGTAGGTAGTTTCTTCCCTGAGCACCTCTATTTCCATGTCTGTTTAATGAATACTTTCCAATCCAACCCTTCAAACTTCAGGGTGAAGGGGAGAATGAAACAAGATAATCTGTGAAGCAGTGTTCTTGGTTCTTAGGAGACATGGTCCCCTACTCTCCTGCAGATCCTCAGGCTTTCTAGAGTGTTGTGTTATAGTCAGCAAATCTTCAACTTAAATAAGGGTACACGGGTAGTGCTTTCACTTTGAATAGCTACAGCACTTCTGGGACGCCAACCAAAAGAAATGAAAGTTCATAAGTATCCGTGTACAAGGTTGATAGCTGTTGCATTGGTTGTGATTGTCAAGTGGAAAATTAAAAAACAAAAGAACCCAAAACACCACAAAACACAAGCATGGCTATGGAAGACAGGCTGACTAAACTTAATAAACTATGATACTCTGCAGAACTGGGTTAACAGATCTGAAAAATAATGAATTTCAAAAATTGATCTGGAGAGATGGTCATGATGCAATCATTGAAAAAATGTATAGGAAAATAGGTATACTATGATTTTTTAAAAATAAAGTTCCAGAAACATACGTGGCTCTGTGAGCCTAAAGTGAGACATGGAATGACCCACACTGGTTGTCCATATTGCTTACATGGGGGTAGAAACAGAAAAGAGACATGAAGGGAAGAAAGGAGATTTAAGAATCTACTTTATTTCTATTCATCACTGAATTTTTGATTTTTTTTCTAAACACATGCATTCATTTTTTTGTGATGCAATAAAGTTGTCAGAAGTCTACCTCACAAAACAGTCTTCAGGGAGTGTTATGGATGAAAAACTGGTGGTCATCTTAACACCAGCTGAATTAGATCAGCCTGGTGCTAAGCACAGATGCTCTGAAGGAAGTTGCCAGCATAAATAGAGATGTAGAGAAG